GGGGGGGGGGGGGGGGGGGGAGCACAAGGAAGTAAAGGCGAGGTAATTAAAAAAGGGGAAAAAAAAACAAATTAGAGAGAATGAATAAAGGGAAAAAAAGAAAACCACAAAAGGTAGTCAGAGAAAAAAAAATATAATTTAAGATATCAGTTTTATTCTAAATTTGTCGTTATTAATAGGGTGTAGAGAGAAAATCATAGAAGGCTAGCCTATATCATAGCCTATATCTTTTGACTAGAAAGGAATATATATAGATATTGAAAAAAATTGATAGACTGATAGCGGAGAGGAATTAATTGAAGAAAACTACGCACTGATCAGAACCAAAAAATACCGAACATTGCTTGGGATTCTTGAAAGAGACATGGATGAATGGAAAGCAAGTTCACGGAGGTTGACGGATGTTCGAGGAGAGAGAGAGAGTGAGAGGGAAGGGCTCGGGGATTTGGAGGAGTCCTAATTGATTGTGCTTAAGGAGCGAGCGGGCGAACGAGATGTATCTCATTTCACCAGGACCTCCATTGATTTTCGGCAGACAGCACATCGACTAACTTGTCGAAGAACGTCAGATTTGTACGTGGTGCCAAGAGGTTTGGTGAATTGTTCGTCGTAGGTCATGGCTCTTAGCCAATAGGAACGACCATCTTGCCAATGGAAACAGTTTCCATAGTGATTATTGCACTCAATGAAAGGTAGTGCTCGGAAGCTCATCAGACAACTTCCAGGTGAATGAAGTGGTTGTACACCACCCGACACAGCAGCGCTAACAACCTAATAAGTCATGAACACAATATTAATTATTGGGCGGTTGCCTCTACTTACTTCGTTAATAACCACCGACATACCATAGGCATACTGAAACCATTCCAGGCATGCTCCCATCCCGGTGGACAGCTCTGTTCTAGATAGGATCTTTGAGAATGGAAAGCCACGAGGTTTGTCCTTGATTCACAGACAACGCATCTAGAGATATATCGTTGAACCTGTTCCACAGGCAATGGTTCTGTCATGTAATGCTCAAGAGTTGATAACCAATACGAACGTCCATTGCGCATATTGAAGTGGCAAGAACCCGAGGGAACAGTGTTAAAGCACGATGCGAAGGGCATGATTGAGAAGACTCGCGCACAAGAGCCAGGGGTACCTAAATCCATAGTGATTGAATCATCATCGCCTTGAAGGGTCACAAGACTGTAGCCATTGTATATCTCATTTGTGAATTCAGGACAGACTGGTGGGCTATCCTTCTGTGAGTGGACGGCAAAGAGATAACCTCCATGAGCCAGGCCAACAGTTCCGTTTGGACCGTCAGGACCACGGTAACCCTGAGGACCACGACGACCCTTGGGACCTGGGTAACCCATATCGCCAGGAGGACCTCGTTCGCCTGGCAAACCGCGAGGCCCTGCTATGTAGCCAGCAGAGCCCTTGTATCCCTTGTCTCCAGGTGGTCCCATTCTGCCAGGTGCGCCTATTAATATATGTCGTTGGAGTAAGAATATGACAGTCATGGTATCTAGTGAAAGAGTATGCTTAAAAGTGTACCTGAGTAACCAGGATAACCGATTTCACCAATGCGCCCAGGTTCACCTCTATCTCCGGGCATTCCATGAAAACCGTAACCCGCTTTGCCTTTTGAACCCTTTGGACCTGGGCGACCTGGTCTTCCAGCAATACCTACAAAAAAATAGGAGTAAAAATAATTCCTTATTTTAATTTTGTGTCCAGAGGCTTGTCCATCCATCGCAAAAATCCGGGAACTTACCTTTAGGACCATCATATCCTCGCATTCCAGGTTCACCAGGATCACCAACAGGCCCATTGGGTCCAGAAAGTCCTGCTAAACCAGCAGGACCCTGCTTCCCAGGTTGACCATCCTTTCCAGGTGGACCTCGATATCCAGGGGGTCCCATTTTCCCTGGAAGTCCCATCGGACCAGTATCACCTGGGAGACCTTGTAAGCCAACATCGCCGATCTCACCACGGTTAGCACGGTAACCAGGAATACCGGAGTCACCAGGATCTCCAGGTAATCCCATTTGTCCAGACAGACCTTCCAAACCCATTTCTCCCTTGCGCCCATCTGGACCTGATCTGGGTAATCCACGAGGGCCTTTTGGACCAGGGAGACCGGTTGCACCTACTTCACCGACAGGACCTTCTGGACCCATTCGTCCAGAGGGTCCGGGTTCGCCTTTCGGTCCAGGAGGTGAAATGGGACAGTATCCTGGTCTTCCTTTGTTTCCCTTCAATCCAGGAAGTCCACGGGAGCCGACAGGTCCTCCAAAACCCTGAGGACCTGGATCTCCAGCTAATCCGTTGGTTCCATTCATTCCAGGTCGGCCTTGATATCCGACAGGTCCGGTATCTCCAGGTTGACCTGGATAACCCTCCAGGCCCTCCCTTCCGGGTTGTCCACTTGGACCCGGTCTTCCAGGTCGACCTAAAGTAGAAATTAATTCATAAATCTAAATTGTTCATTTAATATTGAACTAGTAATTAGGCAGCAAATTGTCAATTCCATGCTCCCCCCTTAGGTTAAACCTCGTAGATTAAAGAAATGTATTGGGGATCTAAGATTTCAATATTCTTTTCTCGTTTTTTCTCAAGAAAGGTTTTCGATCCTATGTCTCGACGTGGAGGTCTGTTCGTCTGCTCTAACTCTTGGACACTTACATGTATACACACAGCTGAGAGCTCAAGTTGTCGAGGGGGGTGGGGGGAATGTACGCATGGCTCTTCTTAATGCCTAGTTTTCTCCTTTGAAAATGCTCTGCCTAATGGGGTGTCAAACTGAGAATCATTCGTTTTAATATTATATTTCCCGGGGTGTGCGATAGACTTACCTCCACGTGGTGCACTCTGGGCAACGTATACTCATACGGCAAAAAAGTCTATAAACAAGGCAGTTGACCTCTCACTTCAAACTACCATCACCCCACTGCGTGTCATATTCGACTACTTCCATAGTACCCATCTCACCTTCTATCTACCTTTTCTACCTTCGTCTTTGAAACACTCTTTTGTTCCCTCCCCCCCCCCTCGACTTTTTTCACTTTGATGTTCCTTCCCCTCTGTGAAGCCTGAAGTCAACTAAATAGCTAATGATAACCACCTAAACGCCTGCCATTTGATATAAATATATATTATATTTTCGAGAATAACTTGACCAGATTATTAAGAAGCATTACCACCAAGATAAGAGTTTCTATGTGTCTAAGAAATAACTAATTCTATTGAAATGGAAACAAAGTAGTGACACAAAACTTTCCTGGATTCGAAGAGCAATTAAAAGCAGCGTTAAAATATCCTTTCTTACCCGGATAGCCCTTGATTCCGGGAAGTCCCATTTGTCCGGGGAATCCCTTGGTACCAGGGGGACCTGAATATCCCTTCCGGCCCATTATAAGACGTGCGGTAGAACCGGGGTAACCTTCATCACCTCTATCGCCAGAGGGACCTGGGAGGCCGTCATCACCAGGTTCACCACGATCTCCTTTCTTTCCCGGAATGCCCTCTGGACCAGTCAAACCAATCTGCCCAGGCAGTCCGGGATAACCTTGTAGACCCATTCTGCCAGGAAAACCAGGATCACCCATCTGGCCTGGTCTACCATCCAATCCAGGGGGACCTTGATCACCAGCAGGTCCTCTAAATCCCTTCAGGCCAGGAATTCCAGAGGAACCCACTCCTGGTCTACCTGGTTCTCCTGGTTTACCCTCCTTTCCGTCAGGTCCTCGAATACCTTTTTCTCCCTTTGGCCCCTCAAAACCAGGCTGTCCAACAAGACCTGGAAGTCCATTTCGTGAGATACCCGGACGACCACGACGACCTCGTGGTCCTGAAACGCCTGTCGGTCCCATGGAACCTTTTAATCCATATGATCCTGTCAAACCCATTTCTCCTGTTCTTCCCGGACGTCCATTAACTCCACGTCGTCCCTGTAAACCTGCGGGTCCAGGTTTTCCCGGTAAACCAGAGGGACCGCGATTACCACGATTACCTTTAAGACCACGGAGTCCAGTTAGGCCTTGAATGCCGACTAGACCTTCTTTTCCTTCAGGTCCTTGTGGTCCTTGAGGTCCGGGGTACCCCCTATCACCCGGTTCACCCATCTCCCCCATTGGTCCACGTGAATAGCAACGACCTGGCAGACCTTGCTCTCCTTTCCTGCCACTAGGGCCTTGAATGAGAAAAAATAAGTGAATTTAACGATATTTCTCGATCAGAATATTTCACACTGATAGGTGACAAAGTTTAACAAACCTGGTAAGCCCTGACTACCAGGAAGACCGGGTTGACCCGGAATTGAACGGGAACTCGGGAACCCTTTAGAACCCTTGTCTCCAGGTGGTCCCATTGGTCCAGGCATTCCTGGGTTACCATTGATTCCAGGTGGACCTAAAACAACGAAAATTAATTTAAAATTTAAATTGAAATAGACAATATGAGACTAGCGTTCATTTCTAGTATTTTATCAATTTTATAGCTTTATCGACTTACAGAGAAAAGTTTTGGCATGCCCCTACTGTCTTATATTTAATTAGATATGGTATCGCCTCGCCATTGTCTAACCCCAAAGCCATTTAAAATAATTAGCGGCTCATTGTGTCTTCAGTGACGTTAACACCAGCACTAGGCAGAACGTTTGATGTGCTCATCCCAGCAGAAAAAAAGAGCAACGGTGTGGGACACGTCATCGCTTTGTGCGTCATCGTAGGCCTGCACACCAGGCTTGGGAGGTGCGGCCGTGCAACTCTGTGTGCAGCGACCGTACAAACAGTGACCAATCATAAGCTTCCGTTTGTTTAACCTAATCCCCCATCCTGATCATGAGTAGCTCCCTGCATGTACACACTTGATCCGCAATATACGTCCTGAATAAACGTGCTCCGTGCTACACGTCTGTTTCCATCATAACTGGGCTATAGCTTAACTTGTTCTGGGAGTCTAGCTAGATGTAGGAGAATCTGCCACAGAGATTTCTGAGTCGGTCAGGCTTTACTAGCGTAGCAATCCGCTACACCATCTATATTAGGAGGCATTCACTTGCAAAGCATTTTTATGGGAAATTGAAAGTTACCTGGTCTACCACGAGGCCCCTGGGGTCCATTTTGTCCCGGAAATCCACGATCACCGGGATATCCAGGTCGTCCAGGTCTACCCTTCTCACCAGGAACTCCAGCAACCGCAGAACCTGCATCTCCAGGCTCACCACGCTCACCTGCGATGTAAGAAAAAGATTTATTAAGTGAATAACTCAAGACAACAACTTGTAGGTAAAGTAATTTCAGAGTAGTGGCGTACCCTTTAGACCAGGAAGCCCCTGGTATCCTACATCTCCAGCAGGACCTGATTGACCAGGCAAACCAGGCATTCCTGGAGGACCATCGCGGCCAGTGGGACCTGGAATGCCAGGAATGCCCATTTCACCATAGGGCCCAGGCACACCGGGCACGCCTCTGTCACCTCGTAAACCGCGAGTACCTGGCAAACCCTGTATACCTTTGATGCCTCTAAGACCTGTCTCACCAATTGGACCAGCCGGACCAGGATCACCCCTGGGACCACGGTAACCCGGTTCACCTTTAAGATAGAGGGGCAGCACACTGGGACATCTGAGTGTTCCACCAGGTTGACCTTTACTGCCAGGTTGACCATCATAACCCATATCGCCAGGATCACCAGGGGCACCCTTGATGCCGTAACCATCTTCGCCTGGTTCACCAGGGTCTCCTTTGTCACCTGGAATTCCTTGAAGACCAGCCATACCGTCTATACCTGGACGACCCTAAAAGGAGACCGGTTGAAATATATACTTGGGATAGTAATCTTCTTACTTTAAATTATGTCATTTAAAAGAAAGTAAACAAGTGTTTATTGTTCCGCTTTTTGATTGTGAGCTCAAACTCAATTGCAATACAATGGACTCCTACTGGTACCTGGTATCTAAATAGTCAGAGCATAAAGGTACTTTAGAATATTCAGAAACTGTCAATCGATCATGATGCACATAACCCATTTCCATCTTAGTCGTTCCAGCAGGAATTGAAAAGCTCGAAATCGTACTCAGAACCATTGTAGTTTCGCATGGTATGGGAAAAGATATTCCCAACGCAGCAATTTCAGTAACCTACGTATGTTTGAAGTTGCATTAAAACGGTAACTACCAAATGACACACCCAGAAAGCGTTTATTGAGCGGGTTCGGATGCTTCAGATATTACAAAAATATGTCGCTCACAATCCTTTAGGAAAAATGTTGACCTATTATAACGTTTTACCTTTTTACATCAAGGAAAGACATACAAAAAATGCACTAAATATGGAAAGAGAAATTAGAAATTTCACTCATAGTGAGCTCTTAAATTACAGTTTAACTAGCTTCAAATTCGATAATTTCATGTCCAAAGCATCGAATGAAACCCGAATAATCAGCTACAGAGGATTGGAAGGTAGAATCGACTTACTCGTAGGCCTTTTGCACCCATCGGTCCTGGATATCCTGCCGGACCAGAAGGACCTCGATCGCCATAAGCACCCGGCAGTCCGTCTCGTCCAGGTTCACCCATATCACCAGGGATTACATCGCGGTTGACAATTGTGACATAACCAGTTTCACCAGGTTCTCCCTTGGGACCCGGGATACCAGGAACGCCTTGTGGGCCCTGATAATAATGGATGAGGGATAAAATAACTTAATCTGCTTAGTGATAGGCAAAGAAAGCGATGAATGGAACATACGCGATAACCGTCAGCACCAGGTAAGCCAGCAGGCCCACGAAAACCTGGAATACCTCGGTCACCCTCTTGACCTTTCTTTCCAGGTAGACCTGGCTGACCGGACTCACCATCTGCTCCAGTTTCGCCTCTTCTACCCGGTTCACCCGATGGACATCCTGTGCACGGTGGTGCTCGAGGACCTAGGATATCGTCAGAGCAAAGTAATTCTGATCCTTCATTTACAAACAACTCTTGCAACCTTACAGCTACCTGTGCATGAATGCAAATACACATATACCGAAGGGTGGAAACAGAAAATTGCATTCATTAAATGACTATCAAAGGTTTGAATAAAGCTCAGGAATGTTAAAAGATGGGTTTGAGCCACAAACATCTTTTAGTGAGATCAAATTAGCCTTATGAGCGTGTTTCATGCCATTTGTCACCTCTCCGTCGTCACCTGTCTTCGTTTAACGCAAATCTTCAATTGGTTGTCATTAAAATACTACTTAATTTCGTCCACCAAGCACGACGCTAAATGTTAAAACAACTGAGGAGGGAAAATAACGTTAAAACAAAGACACGAATAATCATCGGGTAGATATGAACACACCTACTGGCCGATGTTTGAAGTGAGCGTGAAGGCCTGCTCCCTAGGCATTTCTCCCACGCACACTGACGTCGGTCAGTTTTATGAAACTAAACGGTCTTACGCTCGAATGAAAATTTGTTGCCCGCTTCGAATTTCACTCCAGAACCCCCGAGGGGCAAATTACTTTTTACGAACAAGCGACGATTTTAAGGCACAGCAGTACTAGCGCACATTTAGTGCGTTTTCTCTATTCCACTCTCTCCAATTTTCTCTCTCTCTCGCTCTCATTCGATTGTCCTTTTCTGTTAGAAAATGCATTCGTCTACACATGGCTCCTTTATTTGTTCAATTTGCTTTGGGAAAGTTGGTTGCGAGGTGTTAGTCTCAGGAGAGGTTCCAACAAATGGGAATAGATTTACTTATCTAAAAGTGACATGCTGTAACCGGAAGTAGGTCCGAGATCTGTTCTGACTTGTTTAGGAAAGCCTACCCTTTTCTCCAGGAGGACCCATTATGCCGGGAAAGCCTGTTCGTCCAGGTTCACCCATATCACCAGGAGGACCACGAGGACCGGGCAAGCCAACAGTTGGGGTTCCGGGATAACCCTTGTCACCACGATCACCAGGAGGACCAGGATCACCCTTGGGACCCTCTGGACCAGGTCGGCCAGGTTGACCTGGTTCCCCAACAGGACCATACAACGGCGTTCTTCCATCTGGACCACGGGGACCCTGAGGACCTGTTGGTCCTGAATCACCATCCTCACCGCGTCTACCAGGAATGCCTATATAAAGTGGATAAAATGGTACCGTTTGATCTGGTTTTGTTATCATCACCCTTCTCGCCTATTTAGAAAGGAATTTTAAAATCAATATTGTTAGTTCCACTATGGCTGCTTACATCATATCAATGGCTAAGTAAGCTTCATTTCGGGTCGTGTATACATTTGAATCACAACCTCTGATTTCTTCGTTCTTATTACCCGTAGTGAGGCTTAAACTGCTGAAGATTGTCCTGACCGAAAACCGATGGGGTTGGAAATGAAAATAAGCCAAAGAGGATCAATTTTAAATAGTCAAAAGCATCGCATCGAAACACACCAGTTAACTCCAAAGGCTAAATCTAATATAACTGGCTACTTTTTTACTGAATTTCTGAGCTGGCATTTGGACAGATGAAACGTCCATTGAGGTAGCATTCAATGCAATCATTTTCTAAACCAGCAGCCAATAATTCACCACCCCTCAACTCATGATAAGCTAAGTTACTTTTCAACGTGATCATAGTTTGAGTGAAAGGTCTTCTTCCTTCCTCTTCACGATGTCTGATTGGCCAGAGATTTGAGGAGAATGGTGGTTAGTAATGAATGCTTCTTAAATTTGGAACGTACGTCGGACATTTAATTACTGCTAGTTGCATAACAGTAGTTGATACTGCCGTACTGACTTTCACACCACAGGATTTCCATGTTTGAACGTGTTGACAAATTACTTTGTATTCGGATCTCGTTATTTAGACAAAGTCAATGGATTTCCTCAGCTCCAATTATAGGCTATCATTCATGAGGGTTATCGCCTGAAAGAGAGAGAATGCTGAATAAGATGCCTTGGAGACTCGATAAGAGAGGTCTTATTGACGAATACGCCTTATGAGAACTTGTTGAATTAAACAAAATGTCGCTTTAACCTACCCCCCACCCGCTGCCCCAAAAGAACAGCAAAAGTTAAGTGGTTAGCGTACCAGTTTCACCCTTTTCGCCTCTCTGACCCACTTCACCGACTTCGCACAAACGACCAGGTGGGCCGGGTCTACCAGGCGGTCCGGGATCACCCTTGGGGCCCTTGTAGCCAGATGGACCAGGTCTACCTGCGTAGCCTCGGAAACCTCTTGGACCTTCAGGTCCTCGTTCACCCTTGCGACCTTTAGGGCCGATGCAATCGCGAAAACTCTGTGAAAACAAAAATATTTGAGTATTTAGAATAGGTAGTGACGCGTTGGGAATATCAATTCATTAAAATTGTAAAGCTCACTCCAGGTCGCCCTTTAGGACCTCGGAAACCAGGGAGGCCGTCAACACCAGAAGGCCCTCTTTCACCAGGAGCACCTGCGGGGCCCATTCTTCCCGTATCACCATCGAAACCACGATCACCCTAGGTAATTAAGCCGATTTAAATTATTTAAATCGAGATTATTAATGTTGCTACTTATTGTTTTTAGTAGTAAGAAACTTACAGGTTCACCAATACGTCCTGGGTCACCAGTATCACCAGGTTGGCCCTAATAAAAAGGTCATGAGATCAGAAAATTCAGAAAATAATTAATTAAAGTTGTCAAAAATAAAATAAAGTGACTGACTCGATCACCTTCCCGACCAGGCAAGCCTTTTTCACCCATCAAACCTGGGAGACCATCAGGTCCCTATGAAACACAGAAAAAAAATGCTGTTAATTTCATTTATTCCATTTTCAAAGTCTCGCTGAAAATGCGCATGCTGAGTTGAGATGCTTAGATTCAGTTTTCTACAAAAAGCGTTGCCTCATTTTGTCCCATTTCAAGACTATTGGCCAGATCTATCTTAGGATTCCTTCATATTTACTTCAAATTTAAAAATTAAAATAAAAAAGTTAATGAAACTATATCCAATTAAAGGAAAAGTAACCTCGATTAACTTAAAACTACCTGCCATTTCATTAATTTGTTTTAATTTCATCACATTTGGGTAAATCTTTAACGGTCTATCCAATGATTTCTTTGCCTCTTTAAAAATACCTTCCCAACAAAAAGTTTAGTCGTGAGAATTATGGCGAAAATATTTTTTTGTCAGACTCACCGGTATGCCTTCAACACCTCTCTCACCGCGTTCACCTTTCGGTCCTCTCGGGCCCTGAAGTAAAGCACATTTCATGATATTTTTTGCTATTGCATATACTACTGGGGAGTAAGTATTTAAGTAATATTGTATCACTTACCGGATAACCAGGTCTGCCGGGAGGTCCGGATATGAGTTTCATTTCCTCACATGGTCGACCATCGCGACCGGGAATACCTCGGTAACCTTTGTCGCCCTTTTGACCCTCAATGGTAATTGTTGGGGCATCTCTGCCAGGAAGACCTTGTGGACCGATTGCCCCCTTGCGGCCCTGTGGAACCAACGTTAAATATTACTTATTTGAACAAAAGTAGATGACACATTAGAGTTAAAAGTAAAAATCACCTTCGGTCCTTGAGGTCCACGCTCTCCTGCAAGACCATCATAACCTCGAGGTCCTCGCATGCCCTAAAGGTTTATCATTAAATTAAGTGGAAATAACAAATATCGACAAAGGCCATTGGTGTAGGCTATTGAGCAAGTGAGTTAGACTGCATGCGGGGACACAGTAAATTGAGATTTGGGCAATCAGTACACACACACTCATTTGAAAGGGGTGTGCGATGCGCGTGGTAAACCCTGCACAACGTTTACTCGTACGGCAAAACGGTCTATAAACCGGAAGTTGACCTCTGACTTCAAACTGTCATGACCCAACTGTATGGCATATTCGAGCACTTCCACACTACTCACTTTAACTTTTTTCTCTACCTTTATGTCTCTCTCTCTATCTTGCATCTGTAAAGCCCTCTTCTGTTCCCCTCTCGACTTTTTGTGACCTTGAATTTCCTCCCTTTTTGAAGCCCAAAGTCAACTAAAGAGCAGATCATGACAACTATAATAAAGCCTGCCATTTGATAAAAAGAAATAAATACATTCATAAATTCCTACGCCGGTTTCACATCTCTACTGGTGCAAATAGCTACCGACACATCCTCCATGAAGTACACTCGGTAAACAGAATTCGGAGCTCTCGTGGTCAAGACGAATTTTTTATCCTGATTGGTGGACTTTCAAAGTGAACCACCCGGTAGACACAGCCACAAGCGCGGTGGGGTTAGTAATTCTTCGGTGGAGGCAATTCCTGTCTAGACTACTTGTGGTCAAGCGCCCAAAGTAAGTCGGCTCTTCAATTTCTGACAAGGTCCGGAAAATTGGATGCGAAATTAAACGGCATGCAATAATTTCAAGCAACGATTACTTACTTGAGGACCAACATAGCCAACATCTCCGGTAGGACCCTAAAACAATTAATATAACAATAATAAACAAAGTATATATTTATTTATTTACTTTGAAAAAAAGTAGTTAATTTTATTCTTGAAGTCAATGAGTTCAGCGCAATCCAACTTGAGTGTGATAAGACTCGGCTTAAATTTCAAATTTTGTGGAGTTGTATAGCCGCCTCTTCAATGTTGAGCGTTTTCATTTATCTGCATTTTTCATCCAATCAGTTTGCTTTCCTCTTTCAGTATCGGAAGATTGGAGACATGGTTGAGTCTAGGCGCTGAACTTCGTTGAAGTAATGGAGAAACGTGGGGCGAGTATTGCCATATCAATATCTTCGAGCATTTCAATCTGTCATCGGGAAGAGCTGGTTGCTATGGCGCACTAAGGGTAGGTGCACATGACAATTTGTATTTAGACAACCATGAAAATCCATCTGCCGTATACGCTGCAGAACATTTAGGTGAAATCGCATCATCTCACGTCTTATTGCGCATTCGTTAGATAAATGCGATACTGTGTATGGAAAGGTTATTACCCTTTGTGAATATTTCATTGAATTGTACCCCGCTTAGAGCTTCGGATCAGTGCAAGTGTATTTTGTGCGAAAACAAAAAAAGGGCAAATGCATTTCCACAGCTAACTTTATTAGAAATCTTACCATTGGGCCAGGAGGACCCCGACCGATCAATCCAGGAAAACCTTTGGGACCTTGTGGCCCACGATCACCAGGAGGACCTTGAATACCCGACGGTCCAGGAAGACCAGGGGCTCCATCAGCGCCCTGAAATTATCATGAAAGAGGGATGGGGAGGGGGAGAGGAGAGTGTGGTGATTAGACAGTTTAAAATTCAACTGAAATTTGGCCGGAGAAATGTATGTCAAAGATGTGTGCTTACCCTCGCACCCGGGCATCCAGTTTCTCCACGTTGACCTTTGACACCACGGCGACCTGGATGACCCTAGCATTTTAAACAAGGGGCCTTAGTAGCAGGCAAGTGGATTTAGACAACAAAAAAAACAGTGTAATATAAATATGCATTTTTTAATGTCGGCGTGCATGAATAGTTAAAGTATAGATTTACTTGAGAACCATGGGTGCCGGCGTAACCTGGAGGACCTTGAATGCCCTGGGGAAAGAAATAACCAACTTTTAAATCAAATTATCTGGCCGGCATATTAGTAGGGTATCACTGAAGTTGCTACTACTGAGAACCAAAATTTGTACATATTACTTTGCATGAAACAAAAAGATTTTATTAATAAACAATGGCCAATATCATGTGGCCACTTGTATTGGCCTCAAAGGACTATACTCCTTTTCATCTATTACATAAGATCCACTCACCTGTTCACCCTTTTGACCCTGGAGTCCGGGTGCGCCAGGGTAACCTCGGTCTCCCCGTTCACCAGGTGGTCCAGAACGTCCCACATCTCCAGGAGCACCCCAAGCTCCAGGGGGACCAAGTGCACCAGGGGGTCCCTAAATTGGTCAGCAGACGATAAAAAAATTTCTCCTTCAAAGTCGCTCTAATTCTACTTGAATGAGTAGGACATGAGTAGGGCTTACCCTTGGACCAGGTACTCCAACACATCGGCACTTATCTGGAGTGCATATATATTGACAACGAGCTGGATCGTTTTGCCATGGAACTTGCTGAAAAAAATATATTATTATTCATTACCTATTTATTATCCATTTATATTTATGATATTTTGAAAAAATGAAGCGGCCGAGATGCATGAATATGTCAATGATTGAAATTATAATAATCAATAAAATCAAATCTCAAAGTAAAAATGCAATTTTAAATATTAAATAGTAAATAAAATGAGCAATTTATGGATTTTTTAAAATTGTCTTTATTTACCGCTGTAGCCGAGGCGACCAGTAATAAAAATATACCCAAGGTCATTGCAAAGAGGTCTTTGGAATTGAACCTAAAATAAGCGTCAAAAATAAATAAAACACCAATTATTTGAATGCAATTGCTACTTCCGCACGAATTCAGAAACCAACATGTCAACATGCGTCAGTCAGATGTGACGTGGAAAGTACAAATCCCACCACTAAGCTGCAATCCTCCCTTGAAATGCCAAGTAGATCGATAAGGAAGGACCTGACGAAGGCCGACAACATCAGGCCAAGCAGCAGAAGTAGCAGCAGCAACATTGGCCAATGCCCACGGCCGGTTGAGGTCAACGCGATATGTCAAATGAGGGAAATGTCATGATGTTCTTTCGCTAACTTGGTGATTTTTCGCTGATTACCCAGAGAGTTTTTAGCTCTCGTAAGCATACTGATAGGAAGCCGGGGG